TATTTCAATATTTATTGCTGTCCATTAGTTTTTCAGTGTGTTATTTTCATTGTACTATTTTATTTTAGCTATTTTCACTTTGCTTTCAATAATTTTCCTGGACTCAAAATCCATCTAAAATAAGTAATGTCTTTTTCAGATGTAATAAAGTATTAACCCTTTTTTTTGTCATTGACTATAAACAACAACAGGACCCATTTATTGATTTATCTTAATCAGTATTAATGAGTGACAGTGCCTGGTCATGCATGCTGATGGCAAAAAGAGGAAGGAAACTGAGTTTACTTTCAAAAACTTTTTTTAAAATTATTTTTGCATAAGTTGCTGTGGGAAAAAAACAACCTCCTCACAATTTGTTCTTCATAACTCTAATTACAATGAAAAAAATCCACAAAATGGGAGAAAATAATACATTTTAGCACATATTCTGAAATTAAGAGTTGTAGTATGATCCAGATGAAGTTATCTGTGTGTGCTACAAGTTTATTGGCACTACAATTATCTATAGTGTAATGATTGGCAATTATATGCTTATAATAACAATGAAAAAATCTGAAAAAATATAGTTTAGCAAATTTTCCCAAAGTAAGAGTTGTCTGAACTAGATAAGGTTATCTATGTGTGCTACAAGTTTGGTGGCGCTACAATGATCTATAGCCCATAAAATGTGGGCTATTATATGCTTATAATAACAATGGAAAAATGCAAAAAATAGAGTTTAGCACATATTCCCGAAGTAAGAGTTGTAGTATGAACTAGATGAAGTTATCTATGCATCCTATAAGTTTGGAGGCACTACAGTGATCTATAGTGTAGTCATTGCTCATTTTATACTTATTCTAATAATAAAATAGAGGTGCCATTTGTCACTTAGGCTTTTTAGAATTAAGATATGACATATTTTAACTTAAATAAATAACAGAAGAGATTTAAACAACAACAACAACAACAAAAAAAAGGGAGCAAGATATATTACATTTCTCAAAAAACTTCCCGAATAACGTTAACACTGTGTATACATTTTTTTTTTATTGTGGATTCTTTGGATACAATTGAAGTAATTTTTAAAAACATTTTCAAACACAGGGAAGAAAGGTCGACCTTTGGAAAATTTGGTTTTGTGTATGTGGAACTTTGCAAATGGAATAATGAAGTTAACCAAGAATTGCGTTTTCCTATCATTATTAGTATAGTGTAAGATAATATCTTTGGCTTGTAATTTAATTGGTGTGTTGGAGTGCGATGTGATGT